TGAAAAACCAAACGCAAAAAAGACGGGGAAAGAAGTTCTTCTGACGACATCTCAAAATCAGCTAATAAGTTTTATTCAGTAAATCTTGAATATACACTTTGAAACCAAGGTAATCAGCAACCCACGCACAATTCACCAAACAAAAGAAAACTATCAGATCACAGGTGTTTTAACAAAATGGTGAAGTTACACCAGCTCGCCTGCGCCCTCGCTGTGTTTTCGTAAATTACGTTAGGGTTAAATAGATAGAACGAAAAAAAGGCCCCAGAGAGAGGTCATGAGACTCATAGTGAAAGTTTTTATTTTCTCTTCTGCCCAAACTCCTTAATCCTCTTAAACTGTTCACCTCTGTGTTTGGCATGGCCCACTTCAAAAAGAAGTGTAAATTGCGGCAACCAAATAGCTCGTGTAAAAAAAGAAACGAAGGATATTACACGTCGCAAAACAAAAGCAAGCAGTGATCGGCGAAATTTATGCGAATACCTGCTTTAACATGTTTTTCGATTTCCTTATGTATAGTGATATAATGAATGCTCATATAGATAACCGAGCGAACGTAACCAGAGTTGCAAGGATTTAGAATCGTGCCTTCCTTAGGCAAACGAGGTTTTGGATGTCTGTAATATTTGCATGGAACATTTCTCTCCGGAGATATGCTCCACAATAACCTCTCTATAGATATTAGCCTTCCGTCGTGCTTTGGCGGAGAGTGCACGCTTTAAGCCCACGAGATGCTGAAGTGTTATCGAAAGTAGAAAGCTGCCGCTGAAGGTGGCACATCCGCATGACCTTTCTGCCTTTCCCAACCCGACAGTGACTATCGGGAAACCTTCTGTTCAGTCCTTTTCAGCCGGAAAGAAGTAAATAAGGGTGACGATGTGGGTTAGTTGGTTCATACTGACGAAAAGGTAAACAGCGCACAGTAAACGGGGACTAAAGGAAGTGCAAACAGGACAAGCGCTGTGGTCGTAGTTGCTGTTATAAACACGTAAAAGGACCCACCGTAGAAGAAATGAACTGAATAAGGGTGGCGATGCGGATTGGTTGGTTCATACTGACGAAAAGGCAAACACCGCACAGTAAACGGGGACTAAAGGAAGTGCAAACAGGACAAGCGCAGAAGTACCGCGTGTCCCCCCAAAAAATGCAATGGTTTCTTTTTTTTTTTTTTTTTACCGAAAAAAAAAAGAGTTTATGTATCTGCAAACACACATTCTCCGCCCGAATGCAGCGCAAGCGGTTCGAACTAGACGTCAAAATTTGAGCACTACCAGTCATCTTACTCAAAAGTTGTGATTTTCTGGAAATTTCAATGGGAAAATGGGGCATTTTGTGACGGCCTGGAGCTGAGCCGGTTGGTTAGACATGCTTACTTGAATACCAGCTGAAGGTTTAGGAAAAGCGATGAAGAAAAGAAAACAAAGAACCACACTGGCGCCAAAGGGCTACATGTATTCGAAAGCTCTGCTGGGCGCCATTTTGCCATTGAACATTTAAAAAAAATCACTCAGAAATTATCCCATGCGTAGTTTTCTTTTGCGGTTAAATAAAATCCCTTCACTTTTGTTTTTATTTTCGCTTTTTTTAAGGGACATTTTGTATAACTTGCCTGCATAGCGTCATTCCTCTAAATTAAACTGTTCTTCGTCTTCATACAGCCAGTACGATCTTTGCGGTGGCACTTCGGATACAGAAAAGAAGATAGGAGCGCCCTGGAACAACACGTGTCCAATCCCAGCCGGAAGCTACGATACCAGCGTTTCTGTCAACATACCGTATCTTGCCATGTTTTTTATAGGGGTGAGTGTTCTTAGTCTTGCGCGGTGAAAAGGTATCCCGAGAGTGCAAAGAATCGCGCTAAACTTCCACAGGAGTAACACAGAATGTAATTTGTCTCGCTTCGCGATGATCAGGCTTTGTTATCACTAAGAATGGTGTGCCATGTATAAATATTATGGCACACCATATTACAGCTACAGCGAGTCCGCCACCCGCCGTTTGAAGCGGCATCTAGAGGCTGCATTTCAAAACTGTGTATTTCATAAAGTACGATGAAGAGCCAACTAGAAGCAGTGTTTCAAGAACCTGTGTATTCAATATAATACACTGTAGTTATCACAGCAGCTGTCCCAAAAACGGTGGCGCGGCAAATGACAGCAGGTGGACCTTGGGGAGTGAGTGGGCGTACTGCTCGTCTGAACTGTCTATGGGCAGTTCCGCAACTAAGTTGATCTCTTTACGCTGTCTTAGTCTATAAGGCCCTCCCTATTCAAGTTCTGTCCTCTAAATACAACACAGCCCCTAGAAAACTACTCGCCTGCTTTGCTGATCGCCGAGATTTAGAGGGAGAGAACCTTTGCTTCACATCTGAACACATTTGAAGAAATAACATATGTATACATATTTCATGGCCAGTACCTTTCTTATTAATTTTGATATTCTTTTCTTTTTTACTATCTCTTTTTAATTATATTTCTCTCTCTCTCTCTTCTGATTCTTTGATATACCCACGTAGATATGCAGCCCTACAACACACTAAAAAGGCCAATCAACGATTTGTTCATAATTCAGCTTAGCCAGTGATGAAGAAATTTAAGCGTTCTTGGACGCTAGGCGAATTACTTCATCTAAATTGGGAAACCAATTAGTAATAGTACTCCATTTCGCTGGCGAGGTTTGCGAGATATATGCCATCTTCGACGGGATCATCGAAAAATGAAGTTTTCCCCCCTGAGGATTTTTCACGGTAATACCGGGGAAAGGCAGGTAGGTGTCTTTTGGGTAGTGTGTGGATATAAGGACACTACACAAATATAGTGTAGCATAACGCTTTGCTTCCCTAGCACAACATGTAATCTCTTAAAATACATTTTACTGACGATTTTTATTTTTTTCAGAATGGCGACCTCCACGTCAAAATGGAGATAATCAACGGCGGTACTGCTGTAGAGTGCGTTGAAACGAACGTGCAAGTGAAGATATGAACGCCACTAAAAATTGCTCGTCCTCGTCAATTTGACCGTCGAAGTATATTTGCTGCAATGACTGGAAGATGGGGCACCTAATTAATAAATAAAGGAATCTTCACAAACTGGTGTATTCAATTTAGATCACTCTACCACGCGGCAGGCAAGGCCTGCGGCTTTCCTCCGTTTACGTTACCGCCAGTATTGAGTGATTTCTTTAACCTGCAACAGATTATGCAGTAGAGATCCCGGCACTCAGTTTTGGGTTGCATGCATTTGCCAGACGTGGCAAAGCTGGCCTGAATGTTTTACATCTACTGCACTTTATACAAAGATTCATTTTCGACGCTCACTTTTAAATAAGGCGTCCTCTCATGTTTATCTGCATACAACTATAGAGCAGAGCGCCGCACAGCGCTTCGCCGGTTCCTTTTTTATATATATTCATCCGCTTTTCCTTTTCTTGCACTAAATCTGGGACGTTGTTTACTCTGTTCGATTTCTTTGCACTCAATACAAATTTAACTCAAGCCTGTACTTCATTTTATGCCGTCCTTCGAAATATATCGGGTACTCGCACATCCTGCCACAAAGGTTAATTGAGACAGGGTCACTGTTCTTTATTTTTGCATGTGTCCGGCATGGCGCCTTCACAAATCAAGGCTAATGCGTTGTAATGCTTTTTTGTTTGGATCTTTTTTACTAAGATAAGTGAGTATTTTGACTTTCAACAGATAAAAATATTATTTTTTAAAAGCCCCAGGCATCCGAATGTACCGCTGTGGTTTATATTAAAACATGGCGCAATACTTTGCCTGATAAAAGTTTCCATTAGTACCTTCAGTTGAAAGATTAGCACTGCATTCACGAGTTCACTTGATAACTATTTACGATTCCTTCCCTTCGGTGTTTACTTTGGAAAGCTTGCGGCGTCAGAATATTAATAATAAAAATAAGAAGAAATGTTTTTTTTGTTTGTTTGTTTATTCACGGAAATTGATAGTGGTATTCTGGCAGACGAGATCGAAAGCTGCTCGCGTCTCTGTGAGGCCAGGTAAACATGCAAAACACCTTTACACAACAAATAAGCGTACGCTTTACACTATCCGAGTTTTTCCGCCAATCTTCATAAAAATATCATATAAAAAACATTTGCACGATGATCTAGCATACAGTGAATAACGCGTAATAATTTTACAAAAAGGAACTAGAGATTAAATACAGCAGACAAAAAAATAATCAGGAACATTATTCACTTATCGTTTTCTCGACTGTAAATATTTATTTAAATAATATGGAATTTTATCGGTAACGAATACCAGATGGCCGCGGCTACAGCACCTCAACTAGTGTAAAACAGTATAATAGAGCACACAATGGTAAAACAAGCGATACTTGAAGTTACAAAATTTCTAGCGAATGGACTTATTTTTATTTTATTGCCTAAGTCCTGATGATCGGATATGTTCATAAAAACATTAGACATCGTGATGGACGTCGTGATGAAGATCAAATCAGTAGCGCTTACACCGACGGAATACCTTAAGAAAGCACAAATAAAAAACTAAAGTAGCTTGTTTTGTGTTCCTGTTGCTCTTTTTTTACTCTCGATAAATGAAAAATAATGGTTGGCGTTACATTCACATTTACGTTTTTATATGATTACCAAAAACGTAGCAACCAATACATGTCTTACGTAGTTTAGAAAACTGACCTTAAATATTTAGCTTCAAATTTAACAATTTATGCGCAGGACGGTTTTCAGACCCACATGAAAAAAGTACAAACAAGGCCCCTCGCAATAAAACTTCAAATGTTTTCATGCGTTCAAGCAGCGGCTCTGCCAGTTCACTGATGCAAGTCGCACTGCGTAAACGCAGATGGGTACTTTTGGGGAGAGGTTACGACCTTCCTACGCATATACGCACGATATATGGAGCGCACGTGCCTCAATGTCATATCAACCCTGGATTATTTAAAAGATCGTCTCGGGGAGATATACCTAGAAAGAGCGATAGAGCTAGTCAACCCGAAATGCTCTCTTTCGCTGCTGCCCTACTGTGGAGCCTCGTCTCCACGGGCATCGCTTCGACGCAGACACCAAATATTACGTCCTGTTCGGGCAAGTATTATACTGTCGACCTTCTTACCTCTTTGGCATCGTATAGAAGCAGAGAACAAAGTTTTTTGTCGCGATTGTAGTATTTTTATACTTTTTAAGCGATATGAAATTGAACTGTTAAGCCGCATATACACTGGTCATCATACGTCATACAAAAGATGTGGTGTTCGCCGCAATCATGATGAAAGAATTTTTTGTGTGCACGTTTGAAGCATCGCAGAAGCATCATTGCTTCAAAGACATGCATACTTCAAATATATATGCAGACATCGTATTTTTTTTGTGATTAATGGGACCGTCCATACAAGGAAGAAACACGCTTCAGACATGGTGTCTGCAGTCTGTCAGTCATGTGGCGTATTAGCAGTGTTGCCGTGGCTTTGGTTAACGTTTAGCAACAAAGATTTGGAGACGGGGTGTCACAACTGAACAGAGGGCCATACAAGCCTTCATACTAAAGAACGGCGATTTTAAAGTGTGTCTGCCTCTCGATCGTTCATCACTCTTGCAGCCAATAAGAGGCACGCGATAAGTAATTTTCGAGCTCTGGGAGAATCCCTTCTAAATTTCCACTCACAGCGTAAATCCTGGTTGTTGTTGTTGCTTTAAAATCTTTTTGTTAAGGCTTGAGGCGATGGAGCAAAGATGCTGCGAAAAAATCTTGGAACTTTGTCCGGCGGTGTTCACTCTGCCTTTGACGTCAGAACAGCGACTGTTGAGCCGTGCGCAGAGCGATCGTGCCGCCGGGCAACTTCGTTGGTTGATCGCCGCAAATTCGTAATGGACATCGATTGTTTTCCTTTGCTTTTTTACGTAAAAATATGTATTCTTCGGTACCAACATATTGTACTTTGTCTTCCAGTCACCCTTATAATTACAAAGCCCCCATCACTAATATTAATAGGGTGATTTCTCAAATTACAATGTTTATTATCATGTTTGAACGTCGGTAACACCCTACAATAAGTAAACATCCTTCTAAAATGTAAAATGTAAACCACTCTCCACCAAAAAAAAAGGAACAAAAAAAAACAACACAAATACGCTGAAGCAAAAAAAGAAGTTGATAGATCAAAACTATTCGTAAGGATACCAGTAGCAAAAATAGGAATAGTGACAAGAATACAATAAATATTAATAATAATACAAATGCTCGATTCATTCGGACACCCAAAACAGCCTTGAGGTTTTTATATATGGTGGCACAGACATAAAAGATGGAAAATTAAAAATGCAGCATCTCGACACGAGACCGCTTGGCTTGAACATATGGTACCGCGGAACACCAAGTCACCTCATTTAAACTTTTTCAGCATTGTTAACTCACATGGTGTCTAGCAACGCGTGGGTTGCATTGTTTTACGACACTGCGTTTTAGATCTGACAAAAATAGATTTATGTTGTCAGCTGTGGTACAGTCGTCATTTTACTTGGAGTTTTATTCGCCGACGTTGACTTTACTTACCTCAGACTCAACCTGGAATTCCTCGGGGAAGATGACATTGTTGTAGGAATTTTGTTGTAGGAAATTCAATTTAATAGCACACAAATTGGCAGCACAGATTATCTTGACGACTGATTTCTACGTCGAAATGTTACAGCTACGCATGTTGTGACCATCGATTCCATCACCATCACCAACGCAAGGTTCGGTCAAACAATGATCTTCAGCTACACGGGTCAGTTAGCTCAAGCCCTGAACGATTCCCCATTGCTGAAAGCGACAATGACGGAAAAAAATGGAGGTGGGAGAATCCCCTGCATTGACGACCTGGGATCCTGGTGAGATGCACTCAGCACGCTCGACACGCGTCAATCGCTGCTCACTTCGATTACGTCCTAGACTCTATAGAATTTTCTGAAATCCTCTTGTACTCGTAATCTACATTAGGGAATTCATTAATTGTAATTTTACGTGCTTTGATTTTTTTTGTACTAAAACAAACAAGCTTTTGATTTTTTTTTTTTTTTTACTTAGAAAGAAATAATTCTTTTTCATTGTTTAGAGTTAGTTCAGTTCATGCTTAGTATGCTTTTGTGTTCGAGCTTGAGACCATCTTTCTACATGTTCATTTTTTTAAATATAGGATTTGAAATGTCCTGTTATACGGTGTGATCCTGATAATTGCGAGTTTAAAATGAATGTGACGAATATAATATGTAAAATAATTTAAAGCACCATATGTTGGCTCGTCGACAACGAAACCATCACTAAGTTGACGGCAGAAGTCGGCCTCATGAAATATGTGCGGACGTTGGTATCTGAAGATTAAATAACTACAAAAAAAAACGCGCGCTCATAAAATATTTTGGCTATGAGTTTATAAATTGATAATATTTTTTTAAGAATAAAACAATACTAATTTTTAAACTCTTAGAGTATAAATTGGTATCTAAACGTTGGGCCGAATTTCCAACTAATAAAAGATAACAAAAATATTGTGGTGGATTTCTCGTTTTCAGAGCGACATTTTCGATCTCTCGCAGTGCGAACGTAATACACTTGTATTCCATTCGAGACTGGCCAAGTTACACTTCATTCAAATAAATTTATGAGCCAAATATTAATTCAAAGGACAATAACCAGTCGTAGTGGTAGCACCGGTTCAAAAACCGAGATCCCTTGAGAGAAAGAGAGAGAGAAAGTGGAAATGACGTTTCAACCACAAAGTTATGTCGAATCGTCGTTTCCGGTACATAGCAACGTTACTAGATTACCTCAGCTGTGGAGCTTCCGCGAAAAGGGGCACTCCCCCTCACTCACTTCAGTCCGCCTCCCGTCGTTTGAAGCGCCATCTAGATTTCCGTTTCATAACTGTGTGTCCCATAGCATACGGTGGAACGCCATCTAGACGCTGTGCTTCGAAACGTACGTATTCCGTAGAACACACTGCAGTTACCATAGCACCCGTCAGGCACGTCAGACGACGGGAGGCGAGTCATGGTGAATGAGGGGGGGGGGGGGGGGGTTACTACTTGTTCAAGAAGCGTCTATAAACAGTTCCATAAATGACCGAATCAAATAACGTTGGTACATAGCGGGCATTTCGGTTCCAGACTGAGTGGGTGCCAATAGACCTTCCGTTAAATTACCCAAGCATCAAAGAGAATGTTGGGAACGTAGGTACACGCACTGCACGCGCTCGCCTTCCTTATACAATAGATTCGAAGAAAATAATCAAACTAAATGTGTTTGTGAAACACGAGTGCTAAGTTTCATTTGTTTGAGATTCTTGCTTTCGAACAGTTGCAGGTGCAGACGCCAGCACGCGCAGCGCGTGTACCTGCGTTCCCGGAATTCCCTTTGATGCTTCTGTAATTCAACAAAGGGTCTATTGTTTTTCCAAATTTTAGCCTCGAAATTTCGGAAAACTTGGGCGGGATATCAAGCCGGTGAGAAGGCGGAAAACACAGCTATTAGCAAAGTCTTAGGATTCTTCTCAGTGGGCCATGTTAAGGTGAAACAAAGCAGACATGTACACGTTTCTGAAATAAAGTAACTAAATACCATTACGCGTTACTTGCGCAAAAGTAACTAAGCACGTTAGTCGTTGGTCCGGTTCAAATGGAACGCGTTACATCCGCTTGAAAGTAACGGGTTATACATTCTCGTTCCTCCGAATGTGTCATTTGTTATGAAGCAGTAGCCGCTCCCAATATTTGTCGTCGTCAATAATTCCTGGCTTTTTAATGCTTTCATTCGGGGATAGCTGTGGCTATACTCACAAACCTCGTGCGCATCATTTTATGGTCCATTTAGCGCTCTCTCGTCGTAAATATTACGACAGTGAATTAACTTGCTTGAGAACTAGGTTGAGCACTTGTGTTGTGAACCTACCCCTTTAAAAGTAATGAAATACCTTTACTCATTACTTCATCAAAAAGTAATGAAAATAAATTGCTCGTTCCTTTCTTCAGCAAGTTCCTAGGTTGCTACTTTATTTCCGAAAAAGGTAAGTATAGGTACAAGTAACGCGTAACTTGTAATACGTTACGTATAAGTGTGGAACGAATCACACATCACTTGCTTTCACCATTACGTCACTCGTCTAAATCCTCTTGTTGGCCGTCCTCCCACAGTGATTACAAGCTTTGCGGTGGCACGTCTGACGTCGAAAAGGAGATCAGCGCAGCCTGGAACGGCACGTGTCCAGTCCCAGCCGGGAACTACAATAGCAGCGCCTCCTTTCACATACCTTATCTGGCTGCACTTTTCCTAAGGGTGGGTCTCGTTCATCTCCGCTCCGCAATGTATCGTTCCCGCGGAGTTACCGCTGCGGCAAAAATGACGGCGCTGCGATCCCACCGAGCTCGGTGCTTCGTCACATTCGGTGTTACCACGAAAGTGACCGAGAAAAACTGAAGAAGAGGACGAGATGAGATCGCCGAGCTCAGCTTGGACTGATTGCACAATGGACACAAAGGCTAGCTACCTTTGTTCCTCCCATTGACTTCCTCCAATCAGAGCGAACAACTGGGTGACGTCTGCACCCTGACTCGAGGGAGAGGGTGGGTAAAAACAAGGGCAGCTGCTATCCTTTGTGTCTACCCCCGATTCTTCCAATCAAAGCTCGGCGTCTCGATGTCCTTTTTTCCTTCAGTTTTTCTCCGCACATGGCTCTCGCAGAGGCTTGGAAACGCTGCGGTCGTGAGGATAACACGTCGCAATTCAACTGCAGATAATCGTCAACGTACCAAAAAAATTGTTCAGTATTTCTTTTTACTCTCGCGTACAACAGTTAAATGTTAGCGTTCTTCGATGCTGTATGGTCACTCAAAGCTCAGGAAAACCAGGGTGTGGCTTACCATGCCCAAGCTCCTTGCTTTCTGATTGGTTCTTATCGGCTGGTGCCGCAATCTCATCGGCTGCAGAGTGATTATTCAGGACACACCCTGCGTTTCTTGATCTTTCAGTGACTATAAGATTGCTTCCGGGGGAACCGTTTAGTTCAAGTATCTCACGGGTGAGGGCTGCAAGCTATAGAACATGACAGCCAAAGGATCCTCGAACAATCAGGCTGTCGCCAGGGGGATTTCGTTAATAGAAAGAAAAGGCAGATGGCAGTGGTGTGTGCATCTAGTGTGGATACGAGGGCAACACGCAAAGGTAATTGCCCAATTTTTTTTTTTAGTGCGAAAACATTTTTTCTACAAAAACGTATTTCGCTCATCTTTTTTGTGTGTGTGTTATTTTTTTTTTTTTTTTTCAGGATGGCAACGTAAACGTCAAACTGGAGATAATCAATGGCGGGATCTCTCTGGAGTGCAATCAGTTCGACGTACGTTTCGAGATATGAATGCAACTAAAGACGGCCTGTCGTCGTCAGTCCGATCCGTCCAGGTATTCTTGCTACGATGTCTGCGGAATAAGAAACAAAATAAATACAGAAATGGATGAATACGGACTGAAGTATTCAATCAATGCAGAGAGCAAGTGGTCTGCTTCTTGCGCAGGAGTTGTGGTGACGTCAGAACGACGCAGAGGTCCGATTGGCTTCGATTGAAAGGATAGTGGGCAGACCTTAATGCTAAGCGCCCTAGAGTCTACCCACTACTTTTTTTTTCTTTTTTTGCAATCAGCCACTAAGTTGTTTGGCGTTCTGACATGTCGCAACCCCTGTCCAAGAAGCAGACGAGCTTGCGCTCCACGTACAGTGCCTGTCAAAATGAGAACAGCACGGCATCTCCTTCAGATGGCTGGCCTTCAGCACTTGATTGTTGTCTTCCTCCATGCTTAGGCTGCGCGTGCACGCTCGGCGCTCGCGAGACAGAAGCGTTGCCGAAGGTAGGAAGCCCGCGCTGGAAGTGGGAGAACTCGAAGACCTCTCTGTCGTTCTCATCTCGCCGGTGACTGGCAAGACCCATGCCTTTCCTTCGCTAGAGTCATATTCCCAGTGGACTAACAAAGGCGTCTGCGTCACCGCGAGGGCGTCCTGCAGTGTCTCACAGCGAGCGCGATGTTAGCACGCGGCGACGCCAAGAGGCACGTGTCTGCCGCTCTGTCGTGCACTCTCGTCAATTTGCGCCGTGTTTGTCGCTTGGAGCGAGACTGCAGGAACCTCGAACGATAACCTAATGTGCACGCCTTGTCTGGTGGGTGATAGTGACTCTATGCTAAAATATTGTCCATTTGGTGGAAGTAACCTATCAATGAACCATTCAAGCAATCACATATTTGCGATTGGCTTCGTGCCAATTGAGTGGACTAATATTTATTGGCTCCCGCTTCTTTACTTCCTTTTGCCATCAGAACCCAGGGGTACTGATACAAAAACACGTTTATAGCCACAATTGTTCAAAGGTTGTGATAACCCGGCCAATCTCAGAAAAATATGAAAAGAACTATTTTCTGAAGACGCGAACGCGCTGGTTCACTTTATGGAGTAAACAAAGCTAACAATCCGAAACCAACGAATAAACATAGGTGTCATATGCCTAGCCGTCCATTGCATATTATGCATCTTTCCTATAAGGTGCCCTAAAGATATTTCAACTCCAGGCTTCAAGAAATCAACTAAATTTGCCTAACTTAATAATAACAAAGTCAATACTTATTAGTACGAGCGCCTGGAGTTTTTATTATAAAGACAATCAAAGATTAGTACGCCTTGTTCCTTCTGTGCCAAAAGCTGGCGGCGTTTCTACCAAGAGGCGGAGCGGCAGGGCGGTCACGGACAACTTCAGAAACGCAGGGCGTTCTTATTAGTGCTTGGCAACCAATGAAATTGCGGCACCAACTAATACGAACGCTTAAAAACAAATCACGAAGAAAGAAACATTGTTATAGTATGCTAAGCACTGTGTTTCTTAAGCTGCGCCCAGCGGCTCGGAGTCCATCCCTGGCAGCGCACAGGGTTGGGCGACCGTCCCACGAATGTCCTGCGGGCGTTCGGTGGACATCGTGGGACGGCTTGAACCGACTTTCCAATAGGCTTGTAGCAGCACGCGAGGCACGGATCAGACTGCATGATGAATCGGTCGACGTCATACTAGTTCCATTATACTACGTTATACTAGTTATACTAGCTCAAAGTCAGTCGGCAAGCTTCATAGATCGCCTTGAGTGTTTTCGTGGTGTGTTTTCTCGGTGGAGCTCGCTACGATATCAGACCGCCCTATGAACAGAAGCGGCGAGTCTAGTTGAACGTTGGATGCGCATGGCTTGCGATGGAGAGGGATTTTGTTTTGTGCTTGTATGGTAAGCATAAAGGTTGAGCAAAAGTTGGCGCAGAAAGAGCGTTGTTCGGAAGCGGTTCTTCTTCGTTCCTCGTGGAAGCGTTGACGCTTGTGGCGCTAGAAACGCTATACGTCCGTACATGCTCGCGTGCAAGCAACAAAGAAGAGCTGTTTTTGGAACGCCACTCTTCCGTTGAGCTTGTCGACCTCGTGAACTGATAGATCTAAGAACGTTGGTGTCGACAGCAGAATGGTCACCATAGCATCTTTATTAAGGAACGCAGGTCGCAGCTTGATATGTTCACGTATCTTGCAGTGGCGTTGGCAGGAAGAGGCTTACGGAGTTTCCTCCACCCATACCCCTGCCCCCTCCGAAATCTAGCCGACCTTATAATATTTGCATACATCCTGTACCCCCTTCCGCCCTCCTCAAATCAAGTCATCGATATCCCAGCCACCCCAACTACCCCCCCCCCCCCCCCCCCCCCGAAAAAAATTCTAGCTACGCCACTGGTATCTTGCTTCGTGAATCGATTTTCAACGTTCTTGTCGGCTCATTGGTTGCTAAACAATAATAAGATGCTCCGAAATTAGTATCAACTCAGGACGTGGCGTTTCCGGGGGGCTGATATAGCTGAGATGTTTATGGTGGGGCGCGGGGAAGGAGAGAGGAGGCAAAATACATCTGCATATTATAAGATCGGCTGGATTTGGGGGGGGAGGGGGACGCGAAGCCCCTTAAACCCGTCACCTGGCTTCGGCATCAAACTCAGGCACTGAGCTTTTCCTCCACAGTATCTGTCGGTGACCACGCTTTTTGATATAGGCGTAGATCAAGTTGGAACCATATAAGACAACGAAGGCAAAAATCTCGCTAGATGTTTCACATTTTCTACGCTGTTTAGTTTTGATGTGCCCTTACAGCTTCTAGGTAGTCTTTGAGTGCCTAAATATCTGATTCTTATCAAATCGCTTTGAAGAGCTTGCAAGCAAATTCTGTTCTTTTTCTTCCTTAACTCTAAAGGCAATACGTTGAAAGTTCGTTAGACATAACACAACCTCTAAACTGCAAGTAAGCAAAAAAAAAAAAAAATCACACAAAAAGTTTGATTTTGTATGTTTGTGTCCTTATACCGGCAGTTTTGGGATCGTGTTATGTCCAATCGTCACCAGCTCGTCTGCGTCTTCCTGATTAAAGTTTGTTGTAGTATCTTTTTTGTTGTCAGATCTTCAACGAAAGTTATAGGAGTTATATCGCGTTTGAGCAAGCATTTTAAAAAGCCCCATTGTTCAATACATCTTTTTCAATCCTTAGTGGTTTCAAGGCTTGAGTTTGTTTCTGTGATTTGGAATTCAATTTCTGTAACACAGGCTTTGATCATAGAACGGGTGCAAAAAAGATTTGTTCGAATTGTTTATGATAGATGGATTGGACGACGCGTGTATTATGGCTATGAATGCTTACTGAATAGATTTTCGCTGAAGCTTTTATCACACAGAAGAACAGTCCTTGACTTGGTATTCCTGCATAAGATCATTAATGGTGCCATTGATTCTTCATGGCTTATTAGTAAAATCCATTTCCATGTTCCTTTCCGTGCGACGAGACAGCTTACCTGTTTTGATATTTGCTCACCATGCCGTGTGTCACCTCTTTCTCGTTTACAGACATTGTATAACAGCATTGTGCCACCTCAAGTTGACATCACCACACCCCTGCCTACATTTCGCTGTCAGTTGGACGAACTTTTCGTCACTTCATAGCGCGTCAGTGTATATGCATATCTATTTCTTTTTAATGAGTAGGATTTTTGTTTAAGAGCTTTTATTGTACGAGTTGGTGTACCTACGAGAAGGCCGCTCGGCCGTTTTAGGGCACCCGAAAAATAAAGATTATTATTATTATTATTATTATTATTATTATTATCTTAAACTCGAGCAGCCATTTTTATTTCTCTTTTCCACATTGTTTTCTTTTTTTGCCGCGTCTGCGCACTCTATTTCTTACCCGTATACGTCTAAATGCCTCTAGGTTTTTTCGTTTTTTTTTATTTTTTCATATGTTAATGATGCTTTCTGTCTCACAATACATAAGCGGTCTGCCTGGATCTACCCTCACCGTTCGCCGACAGTCGCCAGTCAGCGGCAAACAAATAGAGCGTCTTTATTTCATCGTTTTATATTCTGCCTATTTTATTAAATAAGCCTTTTATTTTCCCATCCTTCCAGTGCTGCGTCTGCACGACCTCCTTTTTATCTCTATGTTTTCAGAAGCATCTGTAAACCTTTCTTCTCATTACTTATTTGCAAACGACGCTTCCTGCCTCGCGTATATACTAAGGCGACCTGTATGGATGTACCCTATAAGGGCGCACGTGACTCAATGCCCTCTCAACACTGAATTCTTTAAAAGATCGTCATTCGAACATATAATTCCGCGCGACACCATGTCTACGGGGAGATAGCGCAAGAGAGCGGTGGAGTTCGTCAAACAAATATGTTTTCGTTTATTGTGGCCATACTGTTCGGCGTCGTCTCCACGGGCACCGCTTCAACGCAGACACCGATTATTACGTCTTGCTCAGGCAAGTAATTTGGTAACTTTTTAATTTAATAATAATTAGAATAATACAAATAATCTTCATTAAAAGTGACCAAAGACAACCACATTGGTCATTTGATTGGTGCACCGCCGCAAGAACACTATGAATAGAAAGAAAAACAGCTACATCATTTGTATGGAAAAAGAATGAAAACTTAGTCGTTCCCATTCTTGCGCAGTATTTTATATCCTTAAAGCGTCACCAAACTGAACTATCCGATAACAATTAGCAGCTAATGTTTGTGGGCGTGATTTACCTTGAACTCATTTGTGTATGGACATTGCTGTACAATGTGCACATATGTCTGTCTCGCGTCAGTCACTTTAGGAGTCAGTGGGAGACACCCAGATTGCAATTCTCAATCGCACGGAAAACTGATTTCCAATTCTCTCTACAAGCGTAAATATAGTCTTAATTTATAAACCCTTTTTGTTGTCATTTGCTTTTTTTCCATTTTCGCATAAAAAGTGTCATTCATTCAATCATTGTATTCCAGTCCCAAGAATTATTGTGAATCATCCAGCACTAGTAATGATAATAGTATTTTTATTCGATCAATCAATCAATATTTTATAGTACCCAAACACGACCTATTGGTCTTCATACTGGCACAAAATAACTAAAACACCAGTACTTAACAGAAATGCCGTCCACATGGTAAACACTAACACAATAACAAAACCAAAAGGCGGTTTCAGTTCTAAAAAGAACAAAAAGAAAGACATCGCAAAAGCGAGCACATTCTAATAATCTGAAGATAACTTGATACTGTTCGCATATAAAAGTACTTATCAGCCCTGATCTAGCTGAAACAAGTTTTAATAGGGGTGATCTCGAAACACGAGCTAAAAATCAAGGGTTTCAGAGTCAAGATTACAACTCTCATCCGATGTAACCATCAGGCCTGACTGACTACTTAATTATTAAGTTATAGAAAATTATTAGTAGTAATAATTTTTCTTTGTGTATTTGGTGCTCCAAAAACAGTCATGAGGTTTTGATACGTTGGCGCAAGCGTAAAATGCTAAAAATGTAGCATTTATCCGACATACTACTTAGCTTAAACAATATACAATAGAAAGTCAAGGTCACACCTGACTGAAGCATAGTCAGTTGCGAACTCGTTTATGTTTTCACCGTGGTTGGCTCACACATTGTCTGGCTACGCGTAAGTTTTTTCTTAATACTTTATTTTAAATTTTGAAAATGGTTAAAAATTTATTTGTGGTACAACCAGCTTTTTTACTTGGAATGTAATCTACTCTTGTAGAGTTCAGTTATCTCAATCTCACCGGGAAATTCCTCATATAATATTTTTTTCAGGAAGAAATATAGTTTATTTAAGGGCACATAGATTGACAGCTAAGATTACCTTGACGACTGATGATTTCTTCGCCGTTATGTTGCAGATACACATGTCGCGGTCATCGATGATATGACTATCACAAACGCAAAAGTCGGCGAAAGAATGAGCTTCAGCTACTCGGGTCATTTAAATCAAGACCTCAATGAATCCCCATCGCTAAAAATGACCATGACTAAAAAGAAAGACAACAGCAAAATCATGTGCTTTTCCAACGTGGGATCCTGGTGAGATACATTCAGCACGTTCGGCCAAAGTCGCTCGCTGCTGACTTTACTATACCTACTCCTGGAAGCGTTCTACTCATGCGCAGAACGCTCCCTCTTCACGCAGTTGAGAAAGTTCGAACTACGGCTGAAGTCCCGAAGGGAAGTTGCAGTACCACTCCTGCCTCTTCTGCGCCTCACGTGAGTCGTGAAGGAGGTAGGAAAGGTAGCACAACTCCCCTGTCGGACGCCAATCGCACTTCAAGCTTTTACCACTTCGGTTCCTTATGTCCTAGTGTTTTGGTGGTGGAAATCTACGTTAACTGTTATATTGTTTTTCTGACGTATTTTTTGTTTAGACAAAAACGGACGACTTACCCAATTCGTAAATTCAGTTAGAAGGACTTAAATTGCTATAACGAAGAACAGTAATTAAAGAGTGGGGTGGTCCGTATAATATTTAAAAACTGGGAATTTATCTAGATATACAGATTTTGTTCAAAGCATTTGATCCACTTACTCGGTTTATCTCTGTGTTTCACCCACCCCGTTGGGCCTTCTTTGCAATCAACGCCATGTGTTGGAAAACCAGGGATCAATTTTGATTGCCTTCTGAAAACCTGTAACCTGCTATTGCGCCTGTATTTACGCTGCGAACGAAGGCCAGAACAGAGTTATGGCGTGTTGCAATTGAAACTAACCACAGATGAATGCAGTTAGGCACCATTTCAGAAACTGGCGCACAAAGGCGCCCGCTGAAACCGCGCATGTGCATACGCACCCCCGAAAAAATTCCCAGTGAAAAGACGTAAAAAGGTTGGCGAAGAAATCTATACTGTAATAAAAAAATTAATTATAAACACGTTGCCAAAAAAAAAAAAAAGAACGAAATCAAATGTGACTGATAAAAGATCCGAAGACGACTGCGTAATATGTTAAGCTATGCGCATAAGTTTAGGGAAACAACAAATTCTACAACTTATCAAGAAAGCGCAAAAAAAAATCGAATAATATAAACGCGCCACACCCTGTGGTAGCATATATCTTTTATACGAAGCTTAGCGCGTAGAATACATCTCCTAGAGTCTTATATATCTAAAAAGAAAACCGCTGTATTTTCTTTTTAGGTTTAGAACTTAAAGCAGAGAAGCAGCTAATACTGTAAAGTTTATTTCTCGTTGCGTGGCTTAGACGAGTGTTTATTACTAAAACAGGATATTGATTGTGTGTCAGTGTGGTGCTCATCTAATCTATTGTTCCTTAACACACAAAAAACAAAGGTTATTTCTTTGTCCAGAAAGCGTGACCCGATTGTTTTTCAATATACGCTACCGAATGCGACAATGATTTAGCGTGTGACCACCATGCGTGACCTTGGCGTTATTGTTGATAGCCGTCTTTCATTCAAAGAACATGTCACTTCAATGGTGGGTACTTCCATGCGTGTAGTGGGGTTGATTTCACGTATGACGCGGGAATTTTCGAGTTGCAGATGTTTGGTCCATTTGTTTTGTTCCTTGGTTCGACCAAGACTTGAATTCAGTTCCGTAGTGTGGAACTCCTTTTCTGTGAATTGCTGCAACGAAATTGAAAGAGTTCAGGAGCGTCTGGTTCGAATTGCATACGATCGATACTTTCATCGTCGTCGTTATTATAGTTACGAATCACTACTTAAATATCTTAACTTACGAGAGCTAAGTAAACGGCGTACCATTCGTGATTTGTCATTCTTGCACAAAGTCATCTGTGGTAGAATTGATAGTATTTCACTCTTATCATCTGTGAACTTTCATGTACCTATTCGCACTCGTAGATTTCTTTTGCAATTTTACCCAAATACACCATACCATGCCTCGCCAATGTCTAGGATCCAGCACCTTTGTAACGAGCTTTCTTCTCCTGATCTTGACATCTATGCAGATACGTTTTTAAAAATGGTGAAGCATTTATAGAGTGTGCAATTTTGTTTGCGTTTCTAGCATTGTGTTTTGATTTTAGCTCTTTGTGTTATCTGTAGTGTCTTGGTATATGCGTGTATTACGTTCGTTAGTTTTGTAGTTAGTATTGATTTATTTGTGCCTCAACAGAGAAATGCATCTTTAATGTGACTGTGATTTTGTTCATAGCGTACCAATAAGTAGGCCTTCGTGGCCGTTTATGGACACTACCAGAAAATAAAGTATATTATTATTATTATTAAACAAATTTATATCCAAAGCAAATCTCAGATACAAACCGCAAACGCTAGAAAAAAACGATGGTTTTACCTTGAAAGAATCACATCAGCGTCACTAATCTGACTAAACTTGTTAATTGTCCTCACACAGCGAGTACAAGCTCTGTGGCGGCACTTCCGATGTCGAAAAGAAAATAACAGAAGGCTGGAACAACGTGTGTCCGGTCCCGGCAGGGAAACACAAGGGCAGCGCCTCCTTCCAGATACCCTTTTTTGCCGGATTCCTCATAGGGGTGAGTCCCTATAGTCTTCCACGCTGAAAACGCACACCGAGACGTCACATCCTGTTATCGTGGCATCACGTTATCATGTCACGGTGTTACGCGACTCACCATGCCCACTTATGGCGGCACATGACGTGATGGCGTCAATCCGTGACTCACGGTGCGCGGTCCTGGTGTGACGTGGAGTCACACGTGCCTCCATTTCCAGTGTTGTGGTTCTTCGCTGGGGGAGAATCTTGTCGTAATCGGATAGGGGATTAGCAAAGTTGTTTGGGATATAGTTGGCTTCCTCGTCGCCCCAAAAGATGACTTTTTTTTTCTTATTTCATTAGTTCTATCTTAGTGATGCAATACATGAGAATGGAAGCAAGAAAGCGAGAAAAGTCTCGCTGTATACGGGGTGTTTGATTTTTATTCGTACAGATGTATTGCAAGAATGGCGTGAAAGGTACACTAATGCAGTCTGTGCAGGTGGGTTTGGCTGCCAGGGTGACGTAATAGGGGATTAACCCTCACGATAAACGCTGGCTCACATAGCACCCTTTTTCGGTTTTTTGCGTTACATAGAACTTATAGGTAACGTCACTTAAAACTTATGCGGAACCGAAACATTCGTGTCTCGAATGTCCCGTGCCAGGCTATTTTGTCGAACTGGTATCCACGCTTCATATGAAGCACAAATCTCCAGGAGAGTTGTACGCAAGTTTCCGTGACGCAACGTAAGAAAACCGGACTGTGAGAACCAACCTTAAGTAGAAAATTGTACTACTTTTTAAATAACATTTTAATTGATGAAAATAAACATATGCTTCCAATTCAAAACTTGCCGAGCGTAATCTAAAACCACTAAATCATTAAATTTTAGGAAGATACGAAGCACATGAGAAGTGTGTGGGTGCACCAAAGTTACCACATGTGCAACAGGCGCCAAGATAGTGGTGAGAAAATGCCGCAAGTCCTGCCCGCATCGACTCTTAGAAGAGTGAAGTAGGTAGTTGTGTCAGTGACGTCGTCACTTTCGTCGTCGGCGCACCCACCCAGGACATGCTGCGGGGATAGGGACGACATGATTTAAACCACTTACGTCACTCTTCCAAGCTTCCAAGCGTCATTGTAGGTAGTGCTTCCGGCGCTCTTTCTGCACACAATTTTTAAATTTGGCGAAACACGTCAACATTTATTAATTAATATTTGAAGCACTATTACATTTCCTCAAATTCTTTCAACTGCTCTGGCCTCTAATAGTGAACTCTCAATCGAATAATTAAAAACTTTCAAGGTTTTTAATTATTCGGATGAACCCTCAATCGAATAATTAAAAATGTAATTAACTGTTTTTTGGTAATTAGCCAACCTACCATGGCGACTATGCCCTCGTCTGATGCCCGCCGAGTCTGAAAAATGCACGGTAAAGACTGTACTCGTCTCACTCCCATACGCTTTTTTTTATATGATCGAATTAAAATCAAGCACCTTGCATACATGTAAGCAAAAATTTTAAGATAGCGTGTTTACATACAAATCGTATAAAATAATGGGAAAGAGGAAACTCTCACTACTAGAAATTTAATGATGCTAAATAATCCGAAATGCATAACACTCAAAGTAAATAGATACTCTTTCCACGACTCAGTGCATCAACACGCGCCTCCAAATTCATAATACAAAAGTCAACAAGAAAAAAACACGTTAACAAAGAAGCTCTTCACAACTTATTTTAATGAATATCATATCTCAAAGAGCGACAACATTTTCAGGGATACTGTTCTAGTCGCTTGGGAATAGGGCTTTTGGGAAAAAGAATAGCAAGTTCCTTTGCATGAATGATCAACCCTAGCAGATGTGAACCGAGAAAGTGTTAACTTGTTTCTGTCGAAAAAGTGATGCGCTCTAATAAATTAAAAAAAAACACACGCAAGTATTTTTGTCGGTTTTCTAATGCATTCTGAGTACTAGACTCTTTGGCGATAGATCAAAGGCAGGCCTTATTATTTGCTCTTGGTGTTTCCCAAGTTGATTTGGCGGTATAAACAGCTTAGTTTACGGAACACACAGAGGCTTGACGACGTTGAGATCATCTAGAAAAGAAGCCCGAATGAACTGCGGAAGAACATCAACATATGAAAATAATTTCTCAACTGTAGACTTCAGGTAACTAGGGGAACCATTTTGACAAAGTAGTTTCATTTTGCTAGTGACCCCCCCCCCCCCGTTCCAAGATATAAAATATCACCGACAAAAGATCCTCGAAAATCAGGTTGCCCACCTGGGGATTCCACCAACGAAATACTGAGACGAAGCAGATGTGTTTTGGTACCGTGGGCGTATAAGGACGCCACACAAAAATATTTGCCTATATTTTTTTTTTGAAAATCATGTTGATGTTTTTTTATTCAACTGCAAATTTTTCATTTGTTTTTTTTTTCTTTCAGGATGGGAATATCAACATCAAGATGGAGATAATCAACGGCGGGAATGTTGTGGAGTGCAATCATTTCGACGTCAAAATTGAGAAATAAACTCATATAATGATTGCTTCGTCAACCCGATCCTTAAAAGTGTGTTTTTCTGAATCTGTAAGGACAAAATACATTAAAAGAGGCGACACCCACGGACCGGCGTAACTGGCCTTTATAGAACACAAGGACTTCGCCTTTCGCCCTTCAAAGTCATCATTAGTGAATTCAATCAGAACCGGTTCTCTTGCACGGGCGTCACAGCGAATTACGTCTTGCAGCGTCCTCCTAACGAGCGCGATGCTACAGCACGCACCAACGCCAAGACCCAGGCGTCTGCCGCTTGGCCGCGTACTCTTGGAGAGACTCGGGGATATAGTAACGATGACGTGATGCTTAGACCTTGTCGTCTAGGTGGTACTGCTCTTACTCCTTTTGCTCCACTTGCCAAGCAGAAACAATTGGCGCTGTCGATACGTACACGACCGCGGTTTTTGACCCCACCTGCTCAAAAGATTGTGACAAACTGAGCTCATCTTATAACTGCAGGGTGTCTCCCCCCCCCCCCCCCCGCCGCCCCCCCCTAAAAAAAAAATACGAGGTATTTTTCTAACCACGAAACTAAAATACTTATCGCCTAGCACTCATTGTCCGCTGAAACGTTGCGCTAGCGATCCGGACGAGCTGCCAAAATTTCAAATCTAACCGTTATCTTTTTTTTTCTCTTTTTTTCAAAAGCTACGATTATTTTTTTGAAAATTTCAAGGTGAAAATGGCAGACGCCGGAGTCCTCGAATACATAGAACTGAAAGGCGCCAGTTCCCATAAACAGAATTAATTTTCCCCTTGCAATTTTTAACGAACGGTTAGTTATGAAACTTTGGGATGTGGTTCTGACCGCTAGCTCTACATTTCGGCGGGGAAAGATTGTGCAAAAATGCGTAATTTAATTTCCAATTAAAAAATTTAAAAAAACCTTGTCAATTTTTGGGGGGAACATATGGATAGAATAAATTCTACTTCCTTAAAACCTGCGGCCGTTCTTTGGCGTGGCAGGTCGTCAAACCTATTTAAAAGACATTGTTAAAGGGTTGTACAGGCAAACACCGCAGAGCTAACTGAGCGCGATAAAGTATAGACGAACCACTCATTAGTGCTCTATATTAGTGCTGAATCACCATACCGACAGGTGTGACCCAGGCCTTTTCTTGCTTACACACTCAATGCCACGCCAACTCATCGCTGAATCAGCGCATAATTTGCGTTATCTCGGCGCTGAGATGCCTGTGTGAAAAGGCCACAAAAGGACTATTTCTTTTCCTCTCGAGTAATCGAGTTATCTATCCAGGCGTTCTCCACCGCTATTCGGGACTAGAAAAACTGAAAAAGTAAGCTAATAAACGGGGAGCAATGAAACTTTTCACGGAGATATCTTTAGGTGCTGCATTTATCTTCTCTTTTTTTTTCTGATGCACTCCCACGAATTAATTTTATCTTCTAATATCAAAACTTGTCTTGAAGCGAAATATATTTCTGTGTTTCATCTCAATGTCCGTTCAATAAAAAACAAGATAGCCGAAATTATCACTCTTCTTGAAATGTGTGAAGTTACGTTCGACATCATAATATTTTCCGAAATTTGGTGTCGAAACGAACAGTATATGTTTGCTTTACCAGGTTATAATAACCTTTTTTTTAACAGAAGTGAACGGAGAGGGGGAGGTGTTTTGATAATGGCTACTAAAGCCCTTCAGTAAAAAATGCTTCTTTTATTTACCGAGATTACTGAAGATTATGAAATTTTGAGTGTACGATGCAAAAAGATTTTTTTGTTTATCGCCCACCATCAGCGAATTTCTGCAATTTTTTGTCTTTTTTGTACAGCTACTTGAAATTTTCTTCTGCAAATAATTTTTTTGTTATTATGGAGGGAGATTTTAACGTGAATATGCAAAACAATACCAGTCTATCTTCGCAATTGAATAATACCCTCACTTCCTATGGCTTTCAAAACGTAATTATGTCATTTCAAGAGACATCGAATGCTCATCAAGTGTCATCGACCTCTTTATTACAAATATAAGCACCAAGATTAAGGCCGTGTGCACTATTTGCTCTGACATTAGTGATCATATTCCGACTTTTTTTTCCTTTCATTGTACAGATCTTATAACTAAGGTCAAAAGATAGCCTTTTTCTTACCAGTATATATCAGATCAAAACCTATTGTATTTAGAAATGAAATTTCATCTATAGATTGGACGCCGATACTGTCACAGATAAAGATCAATGATCCGCATGAAAGCTTTATTGATAGATTAATAAAACTGTTTATAAGAAACGTTTTTCATATAAGACAACTACCTCATTAAAAAAAAATCTTAAGCCTTGGATTACGCCTGTTCACATTAAAATGATAAGGCTCAAAAATTGGTTGTACAGAGATTACATCACTACGAAAGACCTAAATAAATAAGTTATCTTCAAGAAATATCGCAATACCTTAGCAGGAGATCTAAGGAGCGCAAAGCGTGAATAATATAATAAACTCTTCTGTGAGGCTTCGCGGAAAAGTCCAGATATATTTTTAAAATCAATAAATGAAATCTTACAGCGCGGTAGATCACACCGTTCAATAGGACAACTTAGCATAGATGTCAGATTGGTGTCCGAGGCCGCGCTGGCTAAATCTCTTAATTTCCATTTCGTAAATCTGGCGTCCAGCTCATAGTGCGAGGCAGCCGTGGGTGGCATTTCACGAGGAATCAATGAATCTATCTTTCTTGATTCTATTACTTATGATGAAGTGTTTAAAACATTTGTGGGCTTAAAAAAATAGTAAAACATGGTATATTGATGACCTCCAAATTAAACCCGTTAAACAAATTCTTGACAATATTGCGCCATATCATGTACACATCTTCAATATGTGCTTCTCGTGCGGAGATTTCCCTAGGGAAATGAAACGTGCAAAAGTGTCAGTGCTGTATAAGGGCGATAAAAATAATTATTTGTCTAATTATAGACCGATATCGATCCTCCCTATTTTTTCTGAAGGGGTCGAAACGATTATTTTGTGTCGTTTAGATAGTTTTTTTTTGTTTTTTTTTGTCTAACGCTCAGTACTTTCCAGACTTGTACCGTACGCATTACAAGTAATCAAACTTTTTTTAATCGATTACTTTTTGGAGTATTTTTGTAATCAGCTGATTACTTTGAAGGCAGTAATTACAAGAGTAATCTGTTTATTCTTGAAGTAATATTAATTACTTCTAACCGTTACTATATTTCCACGGGACCCCCCCCCCCCCCCCCTCCGCACACACCTTTCTATTTTCTGAAATGACAAAAGTAAATTTTGCTTCGTTTTTTCGAACGGAAAAAAGAAAGATTTTTGCAGAGCTGTAGGAAACGAGCTCAACCCCTTTGTCTGTACAGTTTCTGTGGAATGTCCTTTTTTTTTTTTTCGAGCTGGGACTGGGAGTGGGAAGCCCCAGGGAAGCCCCAGTGCGTGACATAGGCCATTCAGGGCGAAGTTTGAGAGAGCATGAATGTAGCTTTGTAAGTCATAAGTTAAAACTAGCCCCCTCACGCACGCACACGGAGAAATAAAAAAGAAACACTCCTGCTTACGGTACCTACTCGCAGCCCGTAGGAGAACCAGAACCAAAGAATGTCGAAAGCGGATGCAAAGTATACAAAGCCAGTTCAAATACACGTCAAGATCCAGTATTTCCCCTGCGTGGTCTTTGTGACAAGCAAGGTTTTGAGTTGAGAAGTGGTCGGGGCTATCTCTTCTGCTAATGTATACTACACATGATCCGTTTCAAATCATGGAGCTGCTGCTCTTTTGTATAACATGCGAGTTCATCACCACGGAAATAATATTTGGAGAAGCGCGTGTGTGTGCGAAAGAAAGTAAGGGCCTCTTGGTTGCCAGTACAAGAAAATATATAGAGCAAGAAAATAAAATACCTTTTATTTGGAATCAGAGATTCCAAGAAAACGTGGGAAAATGAGCGACGCAAACCTTGAGCGAAAATCTTGTTTTAGCTTAACAAGATCTAAAACCCTTCCTGCTCCCCCCTCTCCCCCCCCCCCCCTTCCCTCAATTGGCGAACGCCCAAATCATTAAACTCCTGCAAACGAATTCTATGCTTGTGTCCGCATTGTGAAGGTGCGTCGACCACGAAGAGGGAACCCGTTATTTCTTTAATACTTGTGATAATGTGAAATATAGGTTGGAAGTAGTTCAATGTTATGAGCGCTAAATATGTAAGTCTTCACACAATAAAGTAATCGGAAAAGTAGCAGTTACTTCTAAAAATAATGTCCGATTACTTTTGCTGTCGAGTAATCAAGTAATCTAATCGAATTCTTTTTAGCCAAGAGTAAAAGTAATTGTAATCGATTACTTTTCTTTAGTAACGTGTCCAAGACTGGTACTTTCTGAGTCTCAGTTCGGTTTTAGAAAGGGAAAGTCGACGGAATCCCCACTCCTCTTACAAAAGAAAATTATTCTACATAACATCGAAAACAAACTTTTGACATTAGACATATTTATAGATTTTAGCAAAGCCTTTGATTGTATTAATCACAAAATACTTGTCCACACATTACACCATTACGGCATTCGTGGTCCCTCACTTTCACTTTTGTGTTCATATCGAGAAGATCATATGCAATGGGTGTGTGCATTGATGGACATTTATCATATTTTATGCGGATCAGATATGGTGTCCCACAAGGCAGCATATTGGAGCCCTTACTCTTTAATATTTATGTAAATGATATGAATACTGACAAGGACACTCATTTCATAATGTGTGCAGACGACACCAGCCTGTTCCTCTCTGACGCGGATGCGGATAACCTAATAATTAAAGGAAATGTCATGCTCTCCAAATTTGCAATGTGGTCAAATGGGCTTAATAATAATGAAACAAGAACTAAAGCAATATTATTTAGATCAACCAATAAACATGTAGCTCTAAACAGCCACCAACAGCGTTAAGCTGTTGGTGGGTCACTGCAAATAAGAATAAATAAATAAATAAACGAAA